TAGCACCAGTGATTGGCTGCTTTGCTTTCTCTGTTGCTAGGCAACCTTGTGGCAAACTGCACAGAAGTGGCAGTAATCAGCAAGGCCAGGTAGTGCGTACTGGCAAGGTGTCCATATCCATTACAAATAGTGCTGTGTAGGATATATATGGTGATAATTTGTCTGTAATTTATGTCTGGAAAGTTCACCAAAAGTACTGTAGGTGACCTGTATATCAAGGAATATTTGAAACAGATTGCAGAGGGTTTGATGTGGATAGCTAGATAATACCAGTTTGGCAATAATGGCCAAGTTGAATCTATAGCTTGTTTATTAAACAAATTTGGAAGATGATTTTCAATAGCTAGAGGAAATTAGAAACAAATTGATCCTTTTCCAACAATGATTTGTCATTAGAAATATCATGACAACTTTAATCAGTAGTTCATAGTTCTATAATTCTCCCTTGCATATTTAATTTTGCTTCACCCCTTTACCTTGGTTACTGTATGTACTTTTACCTGTTTTGCCTTTTAAGTAGACATTTGAATAAAGTGGTCAAAGAAAACATCTGTTTTGTTTTATAATATAGTTTTGCCTTTGCTTTAAAGAGATATAAGATTAATATTAATATGATATAATATCAGACAGATGTTCTGGGTATATATGTTAATGGTTATGTAGTTGAAGAGTGAAGTGTACTGACCTGAGAGAGGTGAGTGGAAGGTGAAGTCAGGGGCAGCACCTCAGCTACCTCAGCCTTAGTGGAGCTAGGTTAATTTGTTCAACAGCTGCTACAAAGACCTATATCACTATATACCATAGACATCTAGTGATACTCTTCACACATATATCATGAATTTTGTATACTAGAGCTGTTGTACATATATCTTTTCTATGTGTTTGGTTGGATGTATATTAGTTCACTGCAAGTATATTTAAAATGATCATAACCCAAGAAATATATAATGAAGTGATAATGATGATGTGTTGCAGTAATACTTTTCAGTTCCACTGTATATCTTAGCAGTTATTGACATTATGAATGCAGGAGTTTGTGTTGATAGAACTTTGGTTGTTATTCAAGTGGATCAGGATGACAAGGGGATGACCTTCATAAAGATAATATGATGTATTGATGAGATGTCTGTAGCACAGTGTATCTGTTCATGTAAACTGTGTGGCCCACACTCTGCCATAAAACTTACAAAAATATTCTTCCTTCAAATTTTTGTGGAGATTATGTGTACTGTCATGATGTAGATCAATGGAAGATCGGCAGCTGGATTTTTTTCCAACAAAGTTTTCACAGAGATATCTTCTTTGTTTTCCCCACCAGCTAAATTCCATATTTCAGTTTAATTTTTAGTTGATTATGATTAGGGTTATGATTACCTTTAGAAACAAACCTTCATTCTGAAATCATTTTAAACAGACTATTTATCAATAAATGATAACAACTATATATCACTGTGTCTTAGGATCTCTCCTTGACATTATAAAACAACGAATGCGAGGCGGAGCCTGTAAAAATGGCGTCCTGGATGAGGTTACCATAGCAACAGTATTAAAGGAGGTGTTAAAGGGGCTGGAGTACTTCCACAACAATGGCCAAATCCATCGTGATATCAAGGCAGGGAATATCCTACTGGGGGCAGACGGCTCTGTCAGGATAGCAGGTCCAGTCTATATGCTACAGAATTACTTTAATATTACACAGAAGACAAGCATTGTCTATTTGTTTTTTCATGAGAGAGAACCGATTTGTGAATTTGGTAATATTTAGAACATTGAATGACAAAAAAAATAAGCCACTTCTGCTGGTATAAAAGAGAATATTTCATAGCTCTAACCAGATACAGTTTGCTTAATTGCTAAGAATTTTTTCTGAACATTTAGACAGTGGTAGAAATCTGATTATTTATATGTGCTATTCAGATTTTGGCGTCAGCGCATGGCTGGCCACAGGGAAGGATTTGTCACGGGACACTGTGAGGCACACTTTTGTGGGGACGCCATGTTGGATGGCTCCGGAAGTTATGGAACAGGTGAGGGGTTAAAGGTCTGGTCAATCACAAAACATTTGTTTTCTTGTAAGTACATCAGGATTATAGTTGCATATGAATTTTTAGGGGAGGTGATGTTATTATTGTATTTGATTTAAACCATAATTTGACTATTTCACGTGTTTTTTTGGTGACTTGGCTAAAATGTAAATGTGCCAGTTGGAACAACAGTGGCGCTTGGTGGCAGATCTCCCACTGACACACCACTGAGATATCTGGGAATTACTGTCAACACTTTTGTTTAGATAGATATTTCAGGATGGCCTGCAAGTAAAATAACAACAATAACAACAACAACAACAACAACAATAATAATAATAATAATAATAATAATAATAATAATGAATAAATAAAATTTTACATGGAAAATTCCATAAAAATTGAAAAATAAAAATACTGGCACTAAAAGCTGCACCTAAAACTACAAACACTTCAAGGAACTACTGAGAAGTAAATTCATGTAACAGTATAAAAAGTATATGTCAATAATAATCATTTTTGTTTATATTCTCAGGTGACGGGTTATGATTTCAAGGCAGATATCTGGAGTTTTGGTATAACAGCGATAGAGCTGGCCACGGGAACTGCTCCTTATCATAAGTTTCCTCCTATGAAGGTTAGTCCATGCTGTAGTGTGTATGTGTGTGTGTGCATGCGCGTGTGTGTATCGGCATGTGTGTGTGTGTGCATGCATGTGTGTGTGTGTGTGTGTGTGTGTGTGTGTGTGTGTGTGTTTGTGTATGCGTGGGTGTGTCCTGTAATATGTATATCTGGTAAAGTACCAGGATATGTTCTATAGTGCAGTGTGAGAGTAGACATCAAGGCAGTAAACCTCCTCTGTACAGTAGTTGTTTGTGTAAATTATAAGATAAGAATAGAATATTAATATACATTAAGTTTTCTTTTGTGAAAAAAAAAAGCAGAGAAACTTTTATTTGGAATTCTTTTTGAAATTGGAGTGTCAGTTAATAATAAAAAGTATTTCATTAAATGCTTGGTAAGCCCCCTTCCCTCCCAGCAATTTTTAAAATCTGGTACAGCAACCTAACCATTGGGCCTGGTTGCATTCAGTAGCAAACAAGTGAAAAAATTTATGTCGACCCCTGGTGGAATAATCACAAATGTGCTGATAATTTATTATTTTATACACATATATGTTCAGAAAAACACATGGTCTGTAATTTTCTTAATACTTTTATTAAACTTTTAAAACTTGTTTTTCAGTAATTGTCTGAAAACATGTTATTTCATCTAACAAATATTACAAGATGCACAACACTGTCACAATAATGAATAATTGTTTCTTTTGATCTGAATGTTGTGTGTAGGTTTTAATGCTGATGTTTTGATCCAATGTTGTGTGTAGGTTTTAATGCTGATGTTTTGATCCAATGCTATGTGTAGGTTTTAATGCTGATGTTTTGATCCAATGCTGTGTGTAGGTTTTAATGCTGATGTTTTGATCCAATGTTGTGTGTAGGTTTTAATGCTGATGTTTTGATCTGAATATTGTGTGTAGGTTTTAATGCTGACCCTGCAGAATGAGCCGCCAAACATAGACTCAGCGGCTGAGGACAAGGACCAGTATAAAAACTATGGCAAACTGTTTCGCAAGATGATAGCTGAGTGCCTTAAAAAGGAACCAGAGAAAAGGTTAACTGTCAACTTTTAATAGAATTACTAGCTCTGAGTCATTTAGAAATTACAGTGCTGTTTTATTAAAGGCAGAAACTAAGTACAAAAATGATGGTCAAATGTACTGAGAAGGTTACAGATGAGTGCAGTAAAGGTAGTCAGTGTAAATGTATGAATTGCCTGCAAAAACAAGTAATGTATTAGTTCTTTTTGATTAATATCTTTAAATAGATATTTTTCATGATGTAGCATTTAATTGTTACAAACTGATTTGAATATACATGTATGTGCTCATGGGCTGGTCTAACACAATATTTTGCTTTTCCAGACCAACAGCAAAACAGTTACTGAAAAATGAATTTTTCAAAAAGTCCAAGGTTGGTAACAGTTTTCATTATCTTGACTCAGTACCTTATGATATGGCTAAATTGTGCATTAATTTTGTTTCTTTTATACATCATACTTAGATTCTAATTTTGATGATCATAATTCTTGTTAAGATAGTTGCTTTGGATTGCATTTGGTTTCAGAGCTATATAATAGAGGATTTTTAGGTACAACTGGGTCACTATTCAAATATTTGCACCATCAATTTACAAATGCAAAATTTCTCTGACAACACAAAGTAGGCATACGTGTGTATCTGTGTTTTTTTACATATTAAATGAATGATTTTGGCCTGAAAAAAACATTAAGAAATGTTCTTTGTCTTCTAAACAATTTTGTAATTCATAATGATAAGCACTTCATTTAATGTATGCTGACACAGGAATAACCGACCACATGTACATTTTTAGAATAATTTTTTGCAGAACCAGGTGCATGGCTGCTTGCATTAACTGTAATTTCACCAACATTATTATTATTATTATTATTATTATTATTATTATTATTATTATTATTATTATTATTATTTGAGCAGGGTTCTTAGTCCTTTTATCAGTTTTGTAAATGATGTTCCACGTATTAATGGTTTAAAGAGGGTATTGACAAGATAATGTGATTAAAGAAAAGATCAATTTTAATGTGAATATTTGGAAATGTCAATAATTATACTGCTACAGTTGAATACATAGGATTTCCTATGGTTTTCAGGACAAGGCACATTTGGTGAAACTGCTCACAGACCAGGGACCCCCAGTCAAGCCACAGAAGGTAAGTTCTGCTGGATATGAGCGATTTCAGAACAGCTGACTAGCAGTTCCGCAGATCAAATATGACTGACCCACTCGAATGCTTTGTTGCGTAATACCCGTGGGGAATTCATTCAGTGTCTAGTCAGGAATTAAGTGGCAAGCTTTTTAGTGGGTCACCATATTTGATCTGTGGATATGTTAGTGTGTTGATCTGAATGCGTTCTGTTACATAAGGAGAGGGAATACTGGGAAAAGAATTATGTTGAAACTGACACTGCCTGGAAGTTAAGGTAGCTTTGTGGGGGTTCCTTTGTAGGTTGGTCAACCACTTTCCTAAATTTCTTCAGTAAATTGTGCATTCTATAGTTTTGTTGTCTCAGATGTAAATTTAAAAAAATTGCTAAATTTGTGAAACATGCTCATTAAAAACGTATACATATTTTTCTCTATGTAAAACAATACTGATCACTAGAACTGAATGGTGTCTTTTGTTGTTGTTGTAAACCAATGTATTTCAATTAAAACAATTTGTATGCATTTAAAATTATAGCTTGTTACCAGTATGTGTGAACTTCATTTTTGTTGAAACGATACATGCTTCTGCAGTTGTTGATGTTATTAAACAGTTTTCTGAAATGATTACCAAATGACATGTAGAAAGAGATTAAAATCATAATGTGTGTGAAATCATATAGTGATCTCAGCTTTACGTAAGAATACTTTTTTGCTCATAATCACAATAATAATCATGTTTAGCTCATATATATTTGTAGCAGCAGATTTCCCCCCTGAAATAACTGATATTCCCTAACCATCATCTGGCAGTAGTATATATACATAGTACTGTGATTCACCCCACAATCTCTGTAACCTGACCCAGTCCCCATACAAGAATCCTTTTTTTGCTATGTTTAGCTCATATATATTTGTAGCAGCAGATTTCCCCCCTGAAATAACTGATATTCCCTAGCCATCATCAGGCAGTAGTATATATATATACATAGTAATGTGATTCACCCCACAATCTCTGTAACCTGACCCAGTCCCCGTACAAGAATCCTTTTTTGCTCATAATCACAATAATAATCATGTTTAGCTCATATATATTTGTAGCAACAGATTTCCCCCCTGAAATAACTGATATTCCCTAGCCATCATCAGGCAGTAGTATATATACATAGTACTGTGATTCACCCCACAATCTCTGTAACCGGACCCAGTCCCTGTACACCCAGCCAACATAACGCTACCCCAGCATGACCTTTACTGACCTTATCTTGTTATCTAAAGAGGGATATAAGCTAACACTGAAGTGAAAGAGGAGCTGACACTGTAAACAAGAAGCACTGAAGTAGTTTGTTTACCTGGATGGGCCGTATACTGCACTATGGACGGCAGGGCACACATTTATATGGCTTTAATGATTGTAATGTTAAATATTTGTAAGGGAGAGAAAATACTTCTTTTCCCATTCTCACAGATATTTAACTCAAGAACCATGAATGTAGAGAAAATCGCTATCTTGCTAAGGGACAATAATCATTCTGTCAGTATGTTGGTCAGTGACCATTACCAGCCAAGCAGGAATATAGACAGTGTGCATTTGATTCGGTACAAAATGCCGGAGGTGTGGATCAACCAAGGCGGAGAGCTGGACTTGACCACTGCTCTCAGCTACATTGACCAGCCAGCCATCCCCCTCCTCAGAGACACAGACATCATGGAGTTTACCCTGTGTGATGCTTTATTTGGAGACCAAACCTTAATTCAGAGTCTGAAACAGGAAAACTTCTCCCTCTATTTCTTTGATTTTGTAAACTTTGGTCCAGGGATATTCCTGAATGAATACTTACAGGTGCCGTCCATTGCCTACTCTAACTATGGGTTCTGGAACTCGTGGTGGGTCTTCCACCAGCCCATCTTCTACTCTTACATGCCATTTCCTTTGGGCAGCCTGTCAGATCACATGACTTTCTGGGAACGAATCCAAAACATTTACGACCACTGGGAAGGCATGAAGTGGATGAACGACAAAATAGAAGATTTAGAGAGAAAAAGATGGGAATATTTTCCCAACGAGAAGTGGCCCCACATGCGACATGCTTTTGAACGTGTTTCGCTGGTCATTGCAGCCAATGTCCATTTTGCTTTTAATTACCCATGCCCTGTCATGCCTCATGTCAAACCCATCCCTGGTCTCCTGTGGACACCACCCCAACCTCTGCCTCAGTATTACAGTGACCTGGTCTCCTGGGCTGATCACGGCATTGTTCTCATGAGCTTTGGTACCTTGGTTCCAACCATGCTTGAAGAAAAAGCAGAACTTTTTGCCAGAGTATTTGCCAAACTTCCCCAGAAGGTTCTGTGGCGCTACAAGGGAACACCTCCCAAATCCCTGGGCAGTAACACCCACCTGGTAGAATGGTTCCCCCAGAATGACCTCCTGGCCCATCCTGCCACCAGACTGTTCATCAGCCACTGTGGAGTAAGCAGTACCTGGGAGATGCTGTACCATGCTGTCCCTGTGGTCGCCATTCCTCTGCTGTTTGACCAGCATCACCACGCCAGAATACTAACAGACAGGGCTGGGGTAGGAGTGAGACTGGTCTTCAGTACTTTGACTGAGGACACCCTGGAGATGGCCATACGCAGTGTTCTGGAGAATAAAGTGTTCAAGGAAAATGCTGTTAAGCTCTCAGAGCTCCTCAAAGACACCCCCATGTCTGGGCAAGATGAACTGTTATATTGGATAAACTATGTCATACGCCACAATGGCTCCAGTCACTTTCACTCACAAGCAGCTTACAGACTGAACTGGGTCCAGTATTTCTTACTGGATGTCGCAGCCCTCATGGCTGTGCTTGCTTTCACTGTTATTCTTGCTGTTGTTCTTATGGTGGTATTTGTGTATAAGTTGTCCAAGAGCATACTGCCTTTACTTTTTAAGAAGAAACTGAAGACTGCATGAATGGTAAGTGTCATTGTAGGAGACCTCAATTTTTTAAACTGGGATTATTTTTGTCATCAGTATATGGTTAATAAATTAAAACTAAAATTGTGTAAAAAGAAAACAATATGTGTTTTTTATTTTCTTTTTCCGTAATACAAAGCACATGATCCAAGGTGTGTGGTAAGGAAAATTTACAAAGCTTCATGAATTGAGAATAAACAGCACTTTATTTTTTGAAGTAAAGGTTGGAGTAACATTCAACTCTTCAGATCTGCATTCAAGTTGAGTTGATATTATGTTTTCTCCCAAGTAATTTGTGAACTTAAATGTGAGTCGTGTAAGACTTCTTGATGTTATCTAATTATTTCACCAGCACCAGGATTTTTCAGTGCCATTTTACAGTAGAGATGTAGATGTAGATGTAGGCACACTGATAATCATGATGCCCTTTTAGTGTTATTAAATCTTGTGTGTTTGCTACCTCCATGTGATATGAGAGAAATACAATTTTATTTTGATTAATTCCAATGTATGTCATGAATAGGTAGACATAGTCTAAAACCACCTGAAACCACCCTAAAATAGAAACTGAATTCCATTTTGTATCAGACATGGCAGCAAATGAACCTTTCTTATATTGTTGTTATTTATCAGTGAAAGCTATTAATCAATTGGTACTCCTGGCACCCTGAAGGTCACTGCTCTGGAAACTGTCACCATGACCCAGTAGCCTGCATGGCAGTAGTACAGTTTCCAATGACCCCTGAGTTTCAGGGTGTCTAACAACATGCAGGGTGTCACAGGGGAGTTACTGGGGAGCATCCTAGTGTCTACCTCTTGTGTTGCCCTCTTGTTTTATGGAATGTTTGTGCCTGTAAACGTTTTTTGAAACTTTAAAACATTAAATTAAAATGGCATTACAAGATATTTTTAAAGCAAAAGAAAAACATGACTGTTTTAGTACAGTTGACTTTCAGTTCAAACAAATGTGTGTTAGATAGAGGCTGTCTTACATTAACATGTGATTGCAAAGACTTTAACACCTTGTAACTAAATGTGAAAGTGACTTTTAACACAGACCAAATAACATATTTGTGTGATTTTTTTTTCAGATTAAAATTCGCACATCAGTGGGACTTAAACTTAGTTTGCCCATTTTGACTTTACTTGACCCAAGATGGATAACAAGGGAAGGGGATCAGAATCATAATTTGGCTCTGACTGCCAATATGAGATGTGTAGATGCTAACGGTTGATAACAAAGTAAATATTGATGGTCTGTTTTCCTACCTTCAGGTGAAGAGAGTTCCTGGGTCCAGTGGACGCCTGCACAAGACAAAAGACGGCACGTGGGAGTGGTCAGATGATGACCTGGACGAGAACTCAGAGGAGGGTCAGTTAGCCAAGCAGTCTGACAGGGTAAGTACACATATGGGAGTGAGCTACAATTTTATGTGGTAGTAAAGGTTGCTGGCTTTTCAGTTAAGACGTATTTGTTTAGCTTTCATCTTGTTCAGTTGATCTTTTGATAAATCTAATAACTACAGAAAATGACATTTAGCACAATTTATCTACTATAAAAAAGAAAGCCAATCTCATATGTAAAGTGATGTTGTTTGTATCAGGGAGAATGTAGCCAACACACAACCCTGCATGCTGAGCTCTGAAAGTGACAGTTATCTTTATTCATTTATCAGTGGTGCATATATTATGTTGACTTTATGTAAATAGTTTCTTTACATATTCCACTTCTTATTTCAACTGTGAGATACCTACTTCCACACACCCAGATATAAACAAATTATGCCATTGTTTTTATTGTTTTTATAATAGTGTGTGAGGAGATCACCTCCACAGTGAACCAGCTTACACTGTATCATATGAATCTCCCCCTGGCTGCCAGGCTAATAAACCTGCAGAAAAGCAAATAATGATGCACAAAATGGGATATTTTATCAATTTTGATGCTATTTTACATGATGCTTAGCAGCAAAATCAGCACCAAATTTTAATCATGCAAATGAGTTGTACTTGTCCAAAGACGTTTGTAGGACAAACCAGTTTAGTCTGTATTGTTCTCTTTCAGTCTCCACGTGTCAAGGAAGAGACTCCGGTGCAGAAAGAGATTGAACCAGTATGTATTTTTTCTTTGTAAGACTTATTTTATTTATCATGTTGGTATAATTTATTGATTGTCATGACTGTATTGCACATCTGCTACAGCATGCTTTTGCCACTCACCTCCATGTTTTGCAAGTTTTGTAATCAGCAGCTGTGTATGAATATTAACAGTTGAGTTTGTTGCTGTCTGTATCAAAGCTTTGTTTTGTGTAATTGAAATCTATGAAGTTGGATTTTTATTAGTGTTTAAGTTGTTCCTGAAGTAGACTTTTTTTGGTTAGTCTGGTAGTTTGCTTTTTACTAGTTTATTTAATTTTTAATTTATTTAATTTGATTCCTTTTGCATATTTTATGTGAATTCAGTTTAAAATTACAAATGATTATTTTAATAAGTGTCCTAAATTATTCCTTTAATAGACATCTGTGGTTTGCTTCTTAAGTTAATTTAATTTTTAGTTTATTTAATTTGATTTCCTTTTGTTTTAACTGAATTCAGTTTAAAAGCTAGTTAATTTTTGAAGAAAAAGTTGTTTAAAACATATTTTTACATTTAAATGGATAATCCTAATAGCACGGTTAATTTTTATAAATGTGACATATAACATATTAAATTATTAGTTGATGCTGCTTATACTCCTGGTTTTTTTTTTAAACCTTGAAAATTGTGTTTATAAGCCATAGATATTTGTTAACAGCATGCAGATACAATGATATACATAATTACTTTTCATCATTTTGTTGATTTTTTTGATCACCCTATACTTAATTAAATGTTTATTAACTTGTTGTTGACAGAATAAGTAACTTGAGTGTTGTATTGAATCTAATATTTAAAGCTAATTTTAAATGATTTCCAAACCTCAGTCATAACATCTATTTTTGCAACTAAATGCAATAAGGAAAGGCATACTGCTTGCACTCACAGCGATGTCATCCACACAAACTGCATTGCATGATGGGATATTTCTGCTCTTCAGGCCAGCTCGCCTCTGCCTGCGCCTGTGGTTAGTGTGGCAGCCTCTGGATTGTCCCCTCCCCCCTCCTCCTCTTCTGCCAAACCCACGACTACACCCACTGCTACCATACCCCCAGTCCTATCTAGTGTGCCAGACCCTGGGGCTCAGACGTCTGCCCCTGGGGACTTGGCAGCCGATCAGGTAAAGTATTGTTTGATAGAGTGTGGCTAAGACCAAGGATACTGGGCTGGTGCTGGTTCTTAGGTTCTCAGTAATATTCAAAATTATTCTTCTATATCATATGAACATCAGATACACTTTATTTGAGGGGACATTTTTAATGTCTGCATTTGGAAAGATAAAAAAGCTAAGTAAGACAAAAACATGACATTGGGATATTTTCAGAGGTGTACAGGATACCTGTAAATACCTTATAAGAAATAGAAATTATTTAACAAAACAGGAAACTCCTGGCAAACTTTACTTAATACATAAAATACCAGCCCAAGATTGATTGTTGGTCCAGCAAGTGTCATATGTGAGATATTACCAGGACTTCAGGGAATAATGACCAGGTCTGATATCTACTGCAATCAGTTGAATTCTGATGGTTAAAAATAAATTGTTCCATGGCTACGTGTGTACACAGCAGACATGATGCCTTGCCTAGTCCAACCTCAGTAAAGAAACCAAGACTTTTAATGCCACATCAGCTGACTGCTGCTTTCATTTGGCTGCACCTCTGGCCCAGCAGCTGTCTTTTTTTAGCAAAAACATGCGTGTGTGGTGAAAAAGTTTGTGTTCCTTTTATTTTGGGGAGGACGTCTTCACAGTGTTTTAATAATAATATCAAAAATAACAATTTGAACACATAGCCAAGTCATTACTGGCTTAAAATAGAGAAAAACTTTCACCTACAACAGTCTTGATGAAATTGAAGTGATAATTTGTATTTAATGTGTTTCATGTTTAAAGTTATACTAATATTATAGTTACCATGGTGAATATATATTTGTGTACATTGTTTACAATCTTATATCAATTTGGCTATAACACTATCACTTGATGTGTATATGTAGTTATGAACTAACAGCTGAATTCTTAACTTTAACAAGAATATATACAATTCAACTCATTAAATCCGTCAGTGGTTCTGATGCAATGATTTGATGACATTTGCTAATTGTTCACCTGTGATTCCAGGAATTGCCTCTTGTCACATACAGTATGGTGCTAAGACTGAGGTAAGTGATTGTCACATACAGTATGGTGCTAAGACTGAGGTAAGTGATTGTCACATACAGTATGGTGCTAAGACTGAGGTAAGTGATTGTCACATACAGTATGGTGCTAAGACTGAGGTAAGTGATTGTCACATACAGTATGGTGCTAAGACTGAGGTAAGTGATTGTCACATACAGTATGGTGCTAAGACTGAGGTAAGTGATTGTCACATACAGTATGGTGCTAAGACTGAGGTAAGTGATTGTCACATACAGTATGGTGCTAAGACTGAGGTAAGTGATTGTCACATACAGTATGGTGCTAAGACTGAGGTAAGTGATTGTCACATACAGTATGGTGCTAAGACTGAGGTAAGTGATTGTCACATACAGTATGGTGCTAAGACTGAGGTAAGTGATTGTCACATACAGTATGGTGCTAAGACTGAGGTAAGTGATTGTCACATACAGTATGGTGCTAAGACTGAGGTAAGTGATTGTCACATACAGTATGGTGCTAAGACTGAGGTAAGTGATTGTCACATACAGTATGGTGCTAAGACTGAGGTAAGTGATTGTCACATACAGTATGGTGCTAAGACTGAGGTAAGTGATTGTCACATACAGTATGGTGCTAAGACTGAGGTAAGTGATTGTCACATACAGTATGGTGCTAAGACTGAGGTAAGTGATTGTCACATACAGTATGGTGCTAAGACTGAGGTAAGTGATTGTCACATACAGTATGGTGCTAAGACTGAGGTAAGTGATTGTCACATACAGTATGGTGCTAAGACTGAGGTAAGTGATTGTCACATACAGTATGGTGCTAAGACTGAGGTAAGTGATTGTCACATACAGTATGGTGCTAAGACTGCGGTAAGTGTATGGATTTTTGTTGTACATTACATTCCAACACTGAATTGTTGAACTATGATAATTTCTAAATTAATCAGTTCAAGGATGCTACAAAATCTATAACTTGGAAGTCAGTTTTTTATATCCGGAGATATTACGTGCAGTCTATAAAGAATAAGTTAATTGAGTTAAAATTTTAAATATTCAATAATTTAGGCAGTTTTATATCTGTGTGCATATTATTCATCACACCAAGATAAAATTCATAATATTTCTGTAATAAGTTGTCTGCTGGGGTTATCTCAGTGAAAACATAATTTCTGATAATTTCAGTCTGTGTAAAAGATTATTTTTCTTTTTTAGGAATGAAAGTAAAGAATTGAATGATATCAAGTTTGACTTCACCACAGGACAAGGTGGGTACAGAGTCAGGATGACAGCGCAAACTATCCTTACAGTACAAGAAAAAGAAAAATTGATTGAGAAGAAATTCTCTGTTTCAACAAATTTTGTTGAAATATAATTGTTCGTTGCTTGATTGGAAAGAAAACTTGTATCATCTTTGTAGTTTCCATCCATTCAGTTTTTCTCTAACAACAGCTTATTCTTTATTCAGTGTTTGCATATCAACAAAAACTGCTAAAATGCTTTATGATATTTTTAAGATTATGTGAAGTCAGCACACAACTGATCAGTTATGAACCATTTTAATCAATTTTAAATTAGTGCATGGCTTTTATGATGCTGAAAAATATTTGCCAATATTTGTTGGTATTCAAATAATGTACCAGTTACAAATAATAATTAAAGGCGTGCTATGCGTGTCATATCTTTGTTGAGCAAATTTTGTTATTATTTATTCTAACCTGGGTCTACCCTATCCAGCCTGGCCACACTGTGAACTGGTTAGGACCTGGCTTGGACTGGTTAGGCTCCATTCAGAACAGCAGATTAACTAGTCCACGACTCAAATATGGCGACACACTAAAAAGCTGTCTAATCTATACAGTATACTAATAGACACTGAATAGATTCCCTGTATGGATTACGTAACAAGCATTCAAGTGGGTCGGCCATATTTGATTCATGGATTAGTTAGTTTGTTGTTCTTAGTTCCCAATGTTTGAGTTAGCCTAATGTCATGGAGGTGGAAACTGTTGAATGTTTCCTGTACCAGTGGTAAGTTAAGTTATTTTTGTTCCAGACATTCTTGCATTCTT